CCTTTAGTCAAGGTTGCATTTCCCATATACAATTGACCTCAGAAGTTCCCTTTCCACTGTAAATATCCTGCTGAACTTGTGTTCTACTATGTGCAATTACTTCAAAATTTAGGCTTGGGCTTATTGAAGCACTCACTCAGTAAGTGATTGCAAATAGACTGACTAAACACATCCTCTTTCTTGTTTAGTCTATAAATTTATTAAATGGAGAAAATGTGATGATAAATGTGCACCTGTTTTTCGGCTAACACAAATTCTAAATTAATGAGGTCATGATGTTCTACTATATTTATATTTTTGGGTTTTATCTCACTTTCCCCAAAACCTGTGAGTGATACTGACCCCTCAGTGGTCACTAGCTGCAAGAGTGGAAGAAAACCCCTATCATTTCAGGAAGTTGGTTTTTAAAGAATAGTGGAACTTGATAGAGTTGGCATATGAGTCAGAAGTGGGATTTCCAGGGTGGGCAGAAGGAGAAGTAGGACTTTGCAATTCATTCATGTTTTATCTTCCCAACTCAGCACCAAGTTTTTCTTCCCCTATTTATAGCAGAGACACAGCAGTTGATAGGATGTATGGGACAGAGAGTCTGTTTGCTCTGTGAGCCCATTTGAGTTTAGGATATGAAAACATTCGCCCAGGTGCTAAGATTGTGTGAGAGATACAATGTAGGGTAGATGATCCGTGTTTGAAATGGCTGTCTTTATTCTCATAGAGGGTACCAGAGTGGTTAAATGCTTGGTTGCTAACCTAAAGTAGGCAGTTCAAACCCACCAACTGCTCCACTGGAGAAAGATGGGGTAGTCTGCTTCCGTGAAGATTTACAGCCTTGGAAACCCTGTGGGACAGTTCTACTCTGTCCTAAAATGGCACTGTGAATCGGAACTGACTCAGGAGCAACGAGTTTTGCCTTTATTCTCTTTATGATTAATGTCTAGTATTTGAATAAGCACTCAGCAGTTTGCAGAGTAAGGTTAGACCTCATGTAGAAGGTGGAGGGTCCGGGACTGATACTCAGGTCTTGTGATTACAAGACTGGCCCAGCTCACTCTTTTTTTTTTTAAGTTTTTTTATTTTTACTGTGATTTGGGTGAAAGTTTATAGAGCAAATTCATTTTCTGTTCAACAGTTCATACACATTTTGTTTCATGACATTGACTGCAATCCCTGCAATATAACAGCTGTCTTCCCTGTGGTTACTTTCTCCCTGTGTCCTTCTTTCCTGTGCGTTCCTGCCCTCTCAGCTATCTCCCTGTGCAAATGCTGCCCTTCTGCTCTCCCATGGTTGCGTATTCTAAGGAGTGTACCTCCCTGGTGTAACTGTCCACCTTGTAGGTCTGACTATTGTTTGGCTAGAAGTTCCACCACAGGAGTGAGATCAATTCCAGGCCCAAAGGGTGACTTGGGGGCCATAGTGTCAGGGGTTTCACCAGTCTCTATCAGTCCAGTAAGTCTGGTCTTTTTTCTGATCTTGAGTTTTGTTCCACATTTTTCTCCTACTCTATCCAGAATATCCTATTCTGATCCCCTTTCCAAGTGGTTGACAGTGGTAGCCGGGTGTCATCTAGTTCTTCTGGTCTCAGGGTCATGTGGGCTGAGGTTCCCACAGTCCACTAGTCCCTTGCACTAATTTTTTCTATGAGTCTTTGATTTTGTTCACTCTTCTTTGCTCTGTAGGAGGAGAGACCAATTGTTGCATCTTAGATGGCTGCTCATGAGCTTTTACGACCCCAGTCACTACTCACCAAAGTAGGATGTAGAACAGTGTTTTTGTGTAGTATGTTGAGCTTTATGTCCCCCACAGACTGGCTCAGCTCTTACCTGCTCATTGCAGTATAACAAGGGCTGCTCTCCAGAACCTATAGAGAGCCCAGATAACGGAAAGAGCTGGCGAGCAGCATTTGTCTGTCTCTTTCCCACCTCCGGAAAGAGAGAGCATGTCACAGTGTTCTTCAAGGACTCTAATAAGAGAGGAGGTTTTGAGCAAAGGAAGCCTGTGATAACAAGTGAGCAAAAGCTGAGTTTGGTGTTTTCCTGTTTGCTTCTGCCCTCTGCAGGAGACAATAATCCATGATTAGAGATCTGTGAATCCTGAAAGGAAGTGTTTGGAATAAAGTAGTCATGATGGAATTTGGGTCCTAGGTCAATTCTTTCATTGTACTGTCTTTCATTTCATCTGTGGCCTGGTACTGGGGACTGAGGCTACGCCCTCTGAGGAGATGGCTAGGGAGCTGTGTTGAAAGGCCTTTTCTACCACCTGGAGATAGTACAGGTGCCAGTGAGTTTCTAATAGGTTTTCTAATAGGTTATTAGCAATCTGTGGAGCATGTCCCCTGTTTTCTTGATAGTTCTACTTATTGATCACAGTATTTTAAGGACATTGACCCCTTCATTGTATCTCCGTTATTACATTATATAAAATTTATTTTTTCACTCTTAACTGTGGGTCAGACAGAGGGGAAGAGAAATTATAGCCTGACTGCTATCAAAAGAAACTGAGTCCATAATAAAATTAATCTACTAGATGAAGTTTATTTGAGCCGAAGATTTGCAGATTGGATAGCACCAAATCACAGTGGAAGCCTACTCTGTCAAGTATCAGCAGTGAAAAACTTTTTTTTTCTCCTAAATTTTATTTATTTTGTTTTTGTTATTGTTGAGAATAGAATATACACAGCAAAGCATGCACCAATTCAATATTTTCTAGTGTGCCATTCAGTGACATTGATTACATACTTTGAGTTGTGCAACCATTCTCACCCTCCTTTTCTGGGTTGTTTGTTGCCTATTATCATAGACAGTGACAGACTTTCATTGACAAAACATGGAAGCAAAGAGTCTTATTTCTGATTGGCTTATACAATTTGCTGTTAAAATGCTATCAGGATTTCATTAGTTAAGGAAGTTGGAGGCTCTGTCAGAATCTCATTGGTCTCAGGGTTGTCTGATTTACAGTAAAGTAGGCTTAAGTTTCACTAAAGACAAGTGTTGGGTATATTGTCTAGGTGACCGCTGATGCCTTTTTGTCAACCACGTGACTTCATTTTGATTTCATTTAACACAACAGTCTTAAGAAATGGTTTTTATCCTTCCTTTAACTGACAGGACAGGGCAAGGGACTTACCTGGTGAATTATTTATCTAATAATGGGTACAAATCATTCCAAAATTCAGTGGCTTAAAACAACTATACTAACTTATTTGTATTGCTCATAGATTCTATAGGTCATGAGTTTAAGAATGGCTTGATTGGGTTGTTCTGGCCTAGAGTCTCTGGCCCCAGCTGTCAGCTGGGTTCATCTAAAGGCTCGGCTGAGATTGGATGATCCACATGTAAGGTGGTTCACTCACGTGGCTGGAAGGGTGGTGCTGGCTGTTGGTGGGAGTCCTCAGTTCCATTCATGTGGGCCTCTCCTCAGGACTGCTTGGGTATTCTCATAACATGGCAGCTGACTTCCCCCAGAGGGAAGGATTCAAAGGAGAAAAAGAGTGAACGAGCGAGGCAGAAGCTCTTTTTATGACCCAGCTTAGGAAGTCACATCATCTCACTCTGCCACATTCCGTTCATTAGAAATTAGTTACCAAGTCTGGTCCTCATTCAAGGGGTTGGGAATTAGGCTTTTTTTTTCTTTTGAAGGGAGGAGTGTCAAAGTATTTGTGGCCAAATTTTAAAACCACCATATCTAGTAGGAGGTGGGGCCACAATTAAACCCAAGTATCCTTAGCAGAAAGCCCCGTTAGGTCCTGGGTGAATATATACAAAGGCTGCTGATAGACTGGGTGGATTAAATTCATAGAGTGATTCAAGCCAACTCTCCCAGTGGCTGAGTATTTCAGGTTTTTGCTTATCCAAAGCTACATATCTTCTTACCTTTTATCTTTTTCCAGTGTCCTTCTGAGAAGCCACTTTTCTAATTTATTAGTGGTTGATAAAATGTTTGCTGGGCAAGAAGCTTGAAACTGTTGAAGTTGTAAGTCTTTGGGTTATTTGTGACTATTCGTGTGTGCTCTGCGTTGTCCCCATTTAATGTAGAGAATTGAAAATACGTAGTGAATGGTAATGTGGTGCCTTTGTTTTTGAATGTCCTCTTGATCCTTTTCAGTGATACCTAAGTAGGTATGAAATGGAGTCCCTTGTTCTTTGGTGGAAGTTATATCTGTTATAATTACTATTGTGTTGTGTGATTTGGGGTGAATGCAGTGTTAGACTTCTGAAAGACCACATACCAGGGTTGGGAGAAAGTGGGCACTTAATGATCAGACACAGAAACAAATCTATAGAAGTAGGCTAACAGCTTAGGTGACAGCCTGGTTTGGGAAATAATTGTTTAGTCTCTGGGCTTAGGACAGAGCAGTTTTCTGTCTGACAAATGAACTAAATAGATGGTATTCCCCTGGCAAGGAATAGAAACTTAATGGGTGGCTCCCAAGAGGACCTGAAATTTTTGAATGAGGAAGAGAAAGACGTCTCTCTTTGTTATGGGAGAGATATACTATAATTCAGAAGGCCATGTTTATTCCTCCAGTGAAGACAAACTGAGCAGATGAGGAAGAATTGGATTTTGCAGGATTTCTAGGCAGCTTAAGGTACTTGACTGCTAACCAGAAGGCTGGTGGTTCAAACCCACCAGCCACTCCTTGGAAGGAAGGTTGGGCAATCTACTTCCACAGTGATACTGCCTTGGAAACCCAAGGAGGGGTTGCTGTGAGTCGGGTCTGACTTGACAGCACATAACAACAACAACAACAACAACAACAGAGGTATAGACCACCATCTGTCTGTCAGCTTGGCGTTCTGTGGTGGTTTGCATGTTGTTGTGAGGCTGGAATCTATGCCACCAGTATTTCAAATACAAGTACAGTCACCTTTGGTAGACAGAGTTTAGTGGAGCTTCCCGAGTAACTAAGAAGAAAAGCTTAGTGATCTTTAGTTCCCCATGAGATTTTCTTACTTTAGTTTTGTTTTCCATGTTTTTTTATTATAATTACTTCTTTTCCTAGGACTTCTTCAGAACACCTTCACATCTTTGGGCTTTGATGTCCAGGTCTTCTTGTATCTCAGTGTGGACCATATCATTCAGACTCTTCACCAAGTTGCCTGTATGCCCCAACATCAAAACTACGACAGCTTTGTGTGTGTCCTGGTGAGCCGAGGAAGCTCCCATAGCGTGTTTGGCATGGATCAGACTCATTCAGGTTTCCCTTTGGATCAGATCAGGAGGGTCTTCATGGGAGATTTGTGCCCTTCTCTCTTAGGGAAGCCAAAGCTCTTTTTTATTCTGAACTATGTGGTGTCAGAGGACCAGCAGGGGAACAGCAGCCTTCTGGAGGTGGATGGGGCAGGGATGAACAATGTAGAGCCCAGAGAAAGACCGCCTGGGTCTTGCATGGTCCACCGAGAAGCCGACTTCCTCTGGAGCCTGTGCAGAGCAGATGCGGCCCTCCTGGAGCAGTCGCCCGGCTCCCCTTCAGTGTACCTGCAGTGCCTCTCCCAGAAACTATGGCAAGAAAGGTGAGCCGCCCAGGAGGTGGCCAGACTCTGCACACTTGTCAGTTGTCCTGCTACTAAGATGGGGAGTACCACTTTGCCGTTTTTGATTCCTGTCTCTTCAGGGAGGGAGAGAGATTTTTCATTCCCCATTGGGAATGTGATATAGACCCTACACAATTGATGAAGGCTTTGTGTTTCAGAAGATCATTTGTAAGTCAGTTTGTAGTTTGGATTTTTTTCCCTTAAATTCTTTAATTATTACTTTTATTGTAACATAAGTAGTACATACTCCTTGCAGAAAAAGAAATTCATAAAATATAGACATTAAAAGCAAAACATACCAAAAAACCAAACTCACTGCCGTCAAATCGGAACCGACTCGTAGCAACCCCTCCTTGGGTTTCTGAGGTGGTATCACTATGGAAGTAGATTGCCCCATCTTCCTTCTAAGGAGTGGCTGCTGGGCTTGAACTGCCAGCCTTCTGGTTAGCAGTCAAATGCCTTAGGCATTATGCTACCAGAGCTCCTAAAAGTAAAACATAGCAAACAATTATAATATACTTATAAGAAACAACCTTTGTTAATCTAATCTTGGTGTATTGCCTTCCAGATCTTGTTTTTGGATACTCATACAATTACATATAAATATGTTTTTAAGCCAAAATGGAATCATCACCTACTATATAGCCTGCATTTGTTTTGCTTAACAGTGTGTCACAAACATTTTTACACATCAGTACTCATATTTCTACAGCACTGTTTTATTGGCTACAGGGTAGCCCAGTATATTGCTATAATGTAGTTTACTGACCAATCTCCAGTTGTTGGGCAGTGTTTTGCTTTCAGCAAAAGAAAAGAGTTAAACATCCTTGCAGCTCAGTATTTGTGTTTGTCCTTAGTTGTTTTCATAGGGAAAATTCCCAGAGGGGAATTACTGTGGTTAAGGAGCTTTCTTTTCTTTTCTTTTTTATTGTGGTAACAACAAATACATAAAAGTAACAAAACATTTACTTTTTCTATAGCCATCACATGTACAGTTATCTCAGTGACCAGTGATGCGTTAGTTATGTTCATCATGTTGTTCAACCGTCACCATTAGCCATTCTCAAATTTATCACCCTTAACAGAGCTCAGTGTCCTCTGAGCATTAAGCCCTTGCATATTTAAACCCTTTGATAACATCTTACCCCAGAATGTCCTTTAGAACAGTTATACCAGGTTTATATGAAAGTACCGGCTTCCCTTAACTCTCACAGACACTGCATACTCTTCCCCCTCCCGCCCCCTAAGTTTTGACAATTTGATAGGCAAAAAAGTGGTATCTGACTATTGAGGTCTGCAAGTCTTTGTTATGCAAACATTTTAATTTTTATTGGTAACAATACTTTTCTCAGGGAAATATTAGTTTCCATTTAAGTTGAATGAAGCCACAGTGTATCTCAAGTGTGAGACTAGCTGTCCTTTCTTAGTTTGTACCTAATTATAATTTAGAATGATGTTTCTGAGCCACCAGGGAAATACATTCTGGGTTCTGGCTCTGAGTGGCCTAGGAGTAAATCTCATACCCTTTATCCCCATAGCAGGAGCGACTCAGCCCGCCAAGGTAGATTCTCTGTGGGCCAATGGTATTATTGAGCTTTTACATCATCCCACATTTGCATTGTTGATCCAGGTGGTTGATGATTCCCAGAGTAAAGCTGGGGTAGGGGGCTGTGATCATTGGGCGGGTTTGGAATGCTCACTAAGCAGTCTATAAAACATTTAGAAAGGAACACTTCCAAAGCATGTTCACATCTGTTGGCTCACTTCACCCTAATGACAATCTGGCTTCTCTTTGATATTGGCATGACATTTATTTTTGCCTTTCTCTTTTCTTCCAGAAAACGCCCACTCTTGGATCTCCATGTTGAACTCCACAGCAAAGTATATGATTGGAACAGTAGAGTTTCTGCTAAGGAGAAGTACTCCATCTGGCTGCAACACACGCTGAGAAAGAAACTCATCCTCTCTTGCAAATGAAAAACCAAGAGCCCATCTTAGCCTACTGTCTCCATCCTTAGAAGGGAGGGTTTTCAAGTGAGTGTATATGTGTGTGATGTGGGTAAGGTAAGGTCCCATCCCATGCTGAAATGACCCCCTGTGAGGACTGCTTGACTGTAAGGAGGGGTATTGGAACTGAAGTGAAGGTGTTGTTTTCTATTCTGGTTCTTTTTATGAACTGAAATAGCACATTGTTCTTTGGGAGTCTGATGCTCACCGCTTTTTGAAAGTAACTTACCTCAAAATGTTATGAGCAGAGCATGGTAATGGATTTATGGCAAGCCTTTTTCTGCATGTTTTTTCATATTATATCCATGCTAGAGGAAACTACAGTCTCAAGTCATTGTCCAGATTCCTTACCTAGAGGTTGTGAGCACTGTAATGGGTTGCACAGTGTGAAAAGAAATACGATGAGTAGTGAAAAATTAGAAATATACAACACACATAGTGCTGAAGGGGCATGGAGGCGGCATCTTCTGACCTCCTCTAACTTCACAAGAGGAAGACAGAATCACCATCAGCAGCCCAAGGCCTGTTCCTGAGGCCAGACGTGCTGCCACTCTCTAGCCCTCTTACCATCCTTGACACCAACTGTCCCTTCCTTGGCACCTACCCCCTCTCTGCTGGTTCAGTAATTTGCTGTAGTGGCCACACAGAACTCACAGATTATGGGGTTTATTACGGAAGCAACAGGCTACAATTCACGTTCAGGAACATGCTCAGGACAGTCTCCCTGCTGTGCCCTTAGACATGCCTGTGGGCCTGGCCTGTGCCTCTGTGTGCCAAGTACACTTGCCACTCTGTCTTGTGCCTCTTGATTCCACTACCACCACCTCTCAGCTGGTGGCTCTGTCAGCTGGGCGTCCCTCTCAGCCTGCAGCCCTAGGAGGGCTCATTTTAAGCCTGGCAGAGTGGCAAAACTAACCAATCCCAACATCAGAGTTCTACACACCTGAGAGAGAGTGAACTTTCCCAGAAGATTACCTTGTGCTGCTTCAACAGAAATACCCCAGGTGGATGACTTTAACAATCAGGACTTTAAAAGCAGCTACTCAGTTGCTCACAGCAAATTCTACCATGGAGTTAATTGCCAGTCTCATTATAGCGAATAACTTTTACCAGCTTCCAAGCCAAGTTGATACATATTTTCCTGGTCCCACCCAGTAATTCAGTGGGAGTTACAAAGACTATGGCTAGAAAAGCCATACCATGTAATTCACATGTATACTGCACATAGTATAACATATATTCATGTTGTATTTTACTTTCTTCCCTCTAAATCTTATTTATTTTGTTGTTCGTGTTGTTGAGAGTATACACAGCAACACATAAACCAACAGTTTCTATATGTACCGTTCAGTGCTGCTGATTATATTCTCTGAATTGTGCAACCATTCCCTTCTTTTCTGAGTTGTTTCTCTCATTAACATAAACTCACTATCTCCTAAGGTTCCTATCTGATATTTCAAGTTGCTTTTGTCAATTTGATCCCATACAGATAGTTCTGAGCATAGCATAATAATGCTCAAGGCAGACCTCCCCCTCCCCCACTAGTTTAGCTAAACTCTTGCTCAATTTGTAGTGGGTAAGGCACTTGACTGCTAACTGGAAGGTCAGCGGTTCAAACCTGCCCAATGCTCTGCGGAAGAAAGATGGGCAATTGATTTCTGTAAAGATTTACAGCCTTGGAAATCCAGTAGGAGTTGCTATTAGTCGTAAACAGCTCAATGGCAATGAGTAGTATTACACAGTTTTAACATGACTTCAGGGGTATTTTTGGTTTAAGGATTATAACAATAATTATACATAATAATCTCAACACAGTAATTTCAGAGGTTCATCCACCCTCCTTAACTCCAGAAAGTGTAGAGTCCATGATAATTTAAAATTCTGTTCTGTATTTTCCCTGTGTTTCATTTTACTTTTATGTATTCTTATAATGATAATCTGTATACTTGTGGTGTGATGGGTTGCTTTTACATGGCCTTTTTAGCCATAGTCTTGTAGCTCCATTAAATGATTGGGTGGAGCTATGTAAATAAGATACTAGTGGCCCACCAAGGGGATTGGACAGCTTGCTAATAACACAAATATGGTGCCTAGCACCATTGTGGTGATGGTACTATGCAAATAATGTGTATGGAACCCTATTGAGGGGAATGATCAGTTTTACCATCCTGCTAGGCTTAAAATGAGTCATCCCTGAGGTAGAAAGGGGGGACCTCAACTACCACCAAGAATGAGGCAAAGTTATGTTAAGTAGCTTACTCATGTTCACCCAACACTATAGCATGAATTCAGGCTGTAAAGAGAGCCACCTCAAGGCCCCACACGCTTAACCAGTTCACTATATGGCCTCTACAAAGAACCTCATAACATGCAAAATGCTCATATATTCATGTTATGTGAGAAAAGGCAGCACACAAAATAGTGCATCTAGTATGTTTACCTTAACCATGTTTAAAATACAAATAAAACAGAAAAATAGCTCTTAAAGGAAAATAAAAGGCAGGAACGAAGTATTCCAAAGGGATGTGTGGATGCCAGGACTGTGGCTGATATATTTTCCTCTTCTCTGTTTTCCCAATTCTCCTCTATATCTAACTGTGTTTGACAATACTGGTGTCTGCACTAAAGCCCGGTACTCTCTTTCCGCTTTGGACTGGTTGGTTCGTCACTGCTGATGAAGATGCCCTTCTGTGCTTAGTTGTGTCTTCACTTCTCTATCTCATCCTTGTCTCCTCTTTTCAGTAACAGGAACTCTGGTGTCAAGACTGCTTCTCTGAGCCACTGGCTATAAGGACTGACTTTTCCACCCAGTTCCATTTCCAGCCCCAATCCCTTCCTTCCTTTTTCAAGGTCATGGGAGCGTCACTTGAACCCCTCCTATCTGCAATGTTTAAGTTAGGGATCTGCTCCTGTTAAATTCTAGGAGCACATTTTTGGTACCAGGCATGTTTTTTTATGTCACTAAGAGGTCAGAATTTCAAGTTGGCTTTGTGGCAGACCCTGCTCACTATCCCCAGATACCCATTTTCCTTTTTCTCCCTTCTAATAGAAACCCTCTGGTAGCATAGTGCCTAAGGCACTTGACTGCTAACCAGAAGGCTGGCGGTTCAAACCCACCAGCCACTCCTTGGAAGGAAGATGGGGCAATTACTTCCGTAGTGATATTGCCCCAGAAACCCAAGGAGGGGTCGCTATGAGTCGGGTCCTACTTGATGGCACGTAACAACAACAAGAACAATAACAAATAGAAACCCCGATTTGTAACTGACCACCGTAGTCTCACAGAATACAGACTGTTTGTCCAAGCCTCAAGTTGTAGTTTGGTGTATCCTGTGATTAAGTCCTGGCCAATGAGATCTAAGCAGAGGAGTCATGTGACAACTAGTGTTTGCTCTTAGCTCTTTCTCTGTCCCTTCCTCCATTCTGCTAACTAGGATACGGTTGTGATGACTGGAACTCTAGCTGCCATCTTGAACTGTGAGGTTAAGGGCTATACTGTAGGAATGTCTGAGTGGTGAGTGGGAAAGAGCCTTGTGATGGACAACAGTAAGGAGCAGTCACCATACTAGCCCTAGACTGCCTACTTCTGGACTTTAATGTGAGAGAAAAATCAGCCACTTTTATTATAGACTTATGTTTCAATCCAACCTTGTCCAACTAACTAGCATAGTTACTTTGTTAAAGTCCCCCCCCCCCCACTTTTTAATTGTGATTTGGATGAAAATTTAAAGAGCAGGTTCATTTTCCATATAGCAGTTGATACTTTTTTTCATGACATTAACTGCAATTCCCCACAATGTAACAGCTCTCTTCCCACCTCCTCCCTGTAGTTACTTCTTCCCTGTGTTCTTTCCTGTGCATTCCTGACCCCCCCTCCCCAGCTATCTCCCTGTGCAAATACTGCCCTTCTGTTCTCCCATGATCGATCATTCTAAGGAGTGTATAGCTAATGTAGATGTTCACCCCATTTGCCTGTCTGTTGTTTGGCTGGAAGCCATGGGAGTGATTTCAGTATCAAGCCTGAAAGATAACTAGGGCCCATAGTCTCAGGAGTCTTACCAGGCTCCCTCAGACCAGTACACCTGATCTTTTTTATGATTTTGAGTTTTGTTCCACATTGTTCTCCCATTTGTTAACATATTTTGAATGGTTATGCATGTTACATATTTAAAAGAAAAAGCAATCCAGATGGTTATTTTCTATTATTTTTATTTATTATTGTTATTTTTAAGTTTGTGTGTATTTCAAGTCTGAACTGAGCTCAGTTTCTAACATATATGATCCTGTTTATCGAATTTTCTCTTTTTTAGTTGTTGCTAAGGGTATTGACACGTTTTACTAAGGCATTATAAGTGGGTTTGGAGATAAGAGATGCAATTGCCATGGAAAAAGCATTCTAGTTGAATCACTCACATTCACTTAAATTACTCAAATCACTCAAACTTTTGGAGTACACTTGTAGATTCATAGTGAGTAAGAGTGTGAAAGATAAAGTTGAGTATGAGGAAGACACATGAACTGTCCTCATATGTTTAGGATATAACACTCAAAAGGATGCCACCCTAAAGCTGGAGGGCCCCCAAGCCCAACATTTTCCACTTTGGCTCTGTTACACACTTACTAAACACAAGAAAACAAATCCTTTTTTATAAATCTCTCTGCAATATCAGCCTGTATATGTATTAAGTATCCATCGATTAGTTAACTCCCTAGGAGGGTCTCCTAAAGAGTAGATTGGGTTCAAACAAACACTTGTACATGAACGTTCATAGTGCTGCTGTTCACAATAGAAACAACCCAGGTGTTCATCAGTGGATGGACAGGTAAAGAAAATGTAGCATATTCGTACAATGGAATATGGCTCAGTCATAAAAAAATGGAATTATGGATACCTGCTACAACATGGATGAACCACGAAAACATTGTAAGACACAAAAGGTCATCTATTGTGTGATTCCATTTATATAAAA